AAAAATTTCGAATTGAGAAATATTTTGTGTGGTAAAAATCGTCAGAAAAACGTTTCACTCCAGAAACATCAAACACAAACTAATTGACATATGAAAATCAAGCTTCGCAGCAACTTTAAAAATTATGTACCAATCGAGTGAAATTGTTGTCGATTCGGCTTGCACGTGCAGTTTTTTAGTATTTATTTTACTTATGCCAAGAATCCAACCATCGAAACACTTTTCATAAGCACCTTTTGCGATGGCCTTCAGCTCCTTCCCCGAATTATGTTTTATGTGTTCGATCTACTGAATAGTAGATTGAACCCATTCGGATGATTGTTGCCTTGTTTGCATGTCAAATTCATAAGCCGGCAGTTATAATGCTCTCCATGCATGTGGGATCGAAATTCGCGCCATCAAACATGTCCTAATATACCTGTTTACGGTACACTTTTTGAAAAAAAAAAATCAACTATATCGGAAGAATGCGTTTCATACTCAAAACATCCAAAAAAAAAAAGCATTCGAAAGAACACGCGAGAGGTGTGGCGCTCTCTTGTCACCTCTCTAATACTTAGTTGACAAGTTTCAAGCAAGACATTCTTCACTCTTTTATCATTCAGTTGAAGAAGCCGAGTGTCTTCATCGTTCGCTTTTATATCACTCGTGGGCTTGTGTTTTTGATAAAACTGAATCACTTTTCAACATTCGCAAAAATCGCAACGCACTACTGAGGTGTACCGACTTAAGGTAGCAGCTGTAAACAAACTGATTGACAGATCGCGCTCACATTTGGTATRATAATTAAGAAAGGTCCTATCAAGTTAACAAAATACATTTGTTTRGAATATTATTTACCCAGAAAATTGAATTTACAATTTCCGTGTACTTTTTGACTCAATGTAAGGATTTCAGTCCACTAACGGAAATAATTTGAGTTCTAAAGAAGAATTATCTAATTTTTTGTGTGAAGAAATCTGAGCATCTCTTGAGACTCCTTTGCTTTCAGCTACTCGCTTATACTACTTGGAATTCCTGATATATTTGAAAAAGTTGAAAATGTGTATCGGCATAAGTACCCTCACGAGATGGCTCCATATGACGGATATTGTCTTCAAAATCTATGAATATGTTTAGCCATTCTGTTCATTTCTTAACGTTTTGTTCAATAATAGTTATTTGCAAGGAGAGTCATTTGCAATAATAATTGGGAAGCATTGATTGTCATAAATACATAAATAAATAAATAAATATACAAAAGGGTTAGGGCTAATATTCAGCAGAAAGGTTTTATAATTAATTTTTTTTTTTTTTTTTTTTTTTTTTTGTAGACATCTTATTGAGCAGTAGTTGAGTGGCGAAAGAAGCCTCAAAAGAACTTCATTCAAAGCTCACGCTTTTCCCCAACCAAATTGCAAATATTTTTCTATTATTAAGAAAAAGGTACACACAACTAATCCAAAAATTCTCGAAAGTCTCAAGTTTATTTTAAAGAACATACCTGCACGCGCTCAACACGAGCACAGTTCACTAAGTTGAGTTGAGAACTTGTTTTCAGATAAATTTACTGCATTTTCAACACCACCCGAAGGAATACACTTTATTCGAAAAGAGCTTAATTAAATAATTCCTCAGATTTATTTACTTTCTGTCGGCTTCTTCTTCTTTTCGTAAAGTTCCGACCAAACGAAATATGCGCCACTTCACAGTTCTGCATGAAAGCTTAAATAAAACAGCAATCAAAGTCAACAGCAAAGGTGAGGCATTAAATACTGTAAAATGCCGGGCAACACACACACACACACTCACACTCCAGCGATGGGCAACGGAGCAAATGTGTGAATCAGCTGCTAGGCGACAGACATACAGACACACACACACATGTGTGGTGGATCGACACGGGTTTATGATATTCATTGTATGCTGCAAGTAGACCCGTATTCAGTACAATTTTGTTGCATGTTGCCGTTGCTCTTCATGTGAGCATGTGGCACGCGACGACACTCCTCGAGAGCGAGAGAGAGTGTGAGAGACTCTTAATCTTTGCAACTTTTTAATTACTTTCTCATGAAGTTTGTAGCATTTAAAATTGTTTAGAAAACTTGGTGTGGCAGTCAAAAACAGAGCGCATAAAAAGAATGAAAAATGAAATAAAAAAACAACAAAAACAGAAACCAGCACAATCAAAGAGCAAATAGCTAAAAATCAAAGCAATACTAAAATTGACTGAAAGAATATCAAAGCAAAAAACTCAAAAAAAAAAAAAGAAAAAAAAAAGTGAATTTCACACAACGAAAACCCCAAAAGGACGAGCACGCAGGCAGGCAAATAAACCGAATGCAACGCGGGCGCGTGTGTCTGTATGTATCGGTGTGTGCTGTTTTGGGAGTCGAAAACAAGCCACATGCCACACATCACCCCTCGCCAGTGTTGYTATGTTGGAATGTCTGGTATTTTGGGCTGGGTTTAATCCGCCTGACACGGCCGCCTAAGCAACCAGCATGACAGCTGTGAAACAACGCTGACAATGGGGCTCCGGTTCACGCCCAGRCGGCATACGCTGCTTGTTGCCGAGGTTGCAAAGGGATTTATGCTYCTTTCAACGGTAGTATGACTTCGTAGTCCTATTTTTCAAGTAAATACATTTCTCATGGTTTTGGGTAATTTTGGGTATATCATACCAAATTCGAACATTCCATTTGGTGTTCCAGCACTGATTTATGATATTATGAATAGTCTAAAAACGGAACTATAAGAAAGAGGAGATAAACATTTTTGTAAAGCAAAAACTCTTGAAAATGTGGAAATCATCGACAAATTCGAATCCGTATATCTTACTTGAAAAGGTGAAATTAGTATGGAGGATATGACGTCACCAACAAAATTAWTTTCAACGCAGTGCACGACGAAAAACTGCGACAAGTCATTTTCACAGGCTTTTCTTGAAGCCAACATTACTCCACTAAGGGCATTACTCTGCATTGACCGAAACAAATGGTAGTTCTATGGCGCAAGGTCCCAGTTTTTGACGAGTCATCAAAGATATGTGTGGTCTAGAGTTGWCCTTATGGAAGACGAAGCCCTTTCTGTTAATCAGTTCTGGTAATTTTTCTTCGATTTCCTCCTCAATTTCATCAGTTGCTATCAGTAAAATGTAAAATCAATCGTTCGAACAGGATGGAGTAGCTGATAGTGGATGATTCCTTTCCAAAACCACCAAACACTCAGCATAACCTTTCGAGTCGTCAACCCTGGCTTTGCGAATATTTGTTGAGCTTCAACAYGCTTGGAGCATGATTTTTTCGCACATTATTTTCGTATTTGATTCACTTCTCGTGTTACCATTCGCTTCAGAAATGGTTCGAGTTCATTTCGTTTCAGCAAAGATTTGCAGATTAAATTTTTCACAG